TGCCGTAAAGCATTCATTAGCTACGGCGTTCTGTGCGAAGAAAAATTTGAGTGATGTGCGCCATAGACAAAGTGACTTTTTTTTTCCCCCCCCCCCTGTACACTATGGCTTAAAGAATGAAAGGATGATGACAACATTAATTGCCTGCAATTGCACAAAGAACACAGCTCTAAGAAAAAAGGCGAAATCAATAAATTTACTTAAATGTGGATCTTGATAGTCACTATGATTCACTATCTGCCAATTTGTTTACTTATTTGCTCATTTATTCCTGTGATGCTGAAGAGACGTACCGGTCTCAGAGAAAGCGGTTCAATGCATAAACGAATACCCCAGAAAAAGCGACAAACTAGTTGGAACTGAAAACAGGAAGTCACACTGCGCTCCAGCAGAACTTTGGTTTTGGAAAAGAAAAACACATTGAATTTTCTGATAGAGAATTTCGCTACGGTCCTTCTGCACCCATAACACTGGCATGATGCCGATCTACAACATTACTGCAAAGACAACGCAGTGAATACAAGTGCTGATGAAGAAAAAAAAAGACAAAAAAGTCAAATTCTCTTCGAAATCTGGATCGCGCTATTATAGATGGCATGGGCGAGGACCACACAACTCGGCTGCGGCGTTAAGAATTGTGGAACAACTCCTTCACTGCCCTCGTCTTCAGAATATGACGTCATCTGCCGTCACCGTCGAGCTCAACGAGGCTTACCGTAATCGCTCCGGCCTGAAGCTGCTACATAATTTCTTCAATCGATTAACTGGTGAATAGCTTCCCAGAGACACTAGCTGTGACTGTGCAAGACCGCTTTTGACCAGCGTTTCAGGGACGTCGTAATGGTCTATGGTACCTCGACGACCTCGTTGAGCTCGTACCGTGAACCATGTTTCCGTGGGAAAATCTTCTGATGTCGTCGGTGTAGAAGGCTGTCATGTAATTTTGATAGATTAGAATGTGCTCTTTAATATCAGTTGGGCTCATTTGGTTTGGTTTCGCAGTCGTAATTAATTCCGTTTTGAATGTGGAGGGAAGTGACTCTTTTTTGCCCCCCCCCCTGTATATGGCGAATTTAGCCTTAATTTGCAACTCAATTTGCTTCTGCCTCATTGATCATTTAGCCCACCTCATTTCTCTGAAATTTCTCATTTCAATCTTTTCGGCCGTTCCCATTCATCTTGCTACTTTTGTAGCTTTACCATGCTGATTCGTTCCCACGCTTACAGGGAATGGTCCATTGGTCGGTCCGGCCATTTGCAATGAGGTGTAGTCCGATGCACGCGTCTTGCGACGCTGAGCTCAAATCCGTTTTCGGTTTTTGCCGAACGATTCTCTGAACGAAGTTACGAGGGATTCTTCTCACTGTGGCTATCTCACTGTGGCGCCCTCTACATCCCCTATCCCACTTGGCTCGCGTAAAAACAGAACGAACGAACAGAACGATAACAAAATAACCAATTATAGCGCTTTCTGGGCTCGTATGAGCAGCCTTGGGAAAACACACAAGTCTGTTACGGTCAAGGATTTCATTACTTGTCCTCAGCCCTAGACCACAACACTTATTGCGCTGGGTGCTCTGCGGCTCTTCTCATTTGATTTGAGCTCAGCGTCGCAAGGCGCGTGTATCGGACTACACCTCATTACACATGCCCGGACCAACCATTTGACCATTCCTTGTTAGGTGAACCATAGAACCCCTTCCAATTGGCATTCAACCCTGCAGACTTCAGCGTCTAATAATGCTGTGCCGTACATCGCAAAGGGTACAAACCACTGCTGTGTGCCCTCTATGTGGTCTCTGTGCGTGAAGTCCTACGGAGGATTTTTGACGTGCTCGCATGCCTAGCAGATTTATTGAACAAGCCATTTGTAGCATAACGCTCCAATCGAAATGACAGACTTCTGAACGCGATTTAGCGGTGTTTCCTGAAGGGTGTTGAGCGAAAGGAGGGTCTCCATTGTGCCCTGTCCCTTCAGTAAGACACGACAAGGATTGCAGCGGCGACAGGGCTAATGATAAGAATGAAACGTATGATTAAGGAATGGAGAAGGGCGTCGCGGGTAGAGCAGGCCGTGGGTGGCTACATCGTTACACGAGAGTCGAGATTAGTAAAGAGGCCGGGAGAGAAAATTGAGGACAGGATGGGTTAGCACTGACGTTTGGAGGCTAGCGGATGGAAGTCTCTCTAGTGCTACTAGAGGTCTCATGCGCAGAGAGGGAGTCCCAGGCTGATGTTGAAGAGTGGGTCGAAAAGACGCGGCTGGCCGGGGCTAGTGGCGCAGCGGCAAAGAGGGAAGGAGAGGAAAGGGAGGGAAGCTGAAGAAGGGGAGGAGGGGGCAGATTTCAAGGTGGATGGAGTAGTAACCATGTTGGACAGGACTGATAGAAGGATGCAGGATACGACAACGGTCTTGTCGAAAAGTTACAGGTAAAAAGACGGGCTGATTGCACGTTACCAACTTGTCCTCACCTCATAGACCTGAAGGACGCAGGGCATAAAGGGCCGCTCTCAACCCCTTCAGTCGTTACAAGAACGGCGACACAAGAAAATCGAGTTGGAAACTGAGTCATCGACGTCTCTATCGCTCTTTACGCTGGACCTTCTTCGATGTTCCAGCCTCAGTGGACTCCTAAAACTTACCTGGGTAAACCTAAGCGGTGCATTTGGACTATTTTGAAGACTCTCAGTAAACATCATTCCTCCGTTCAATTTAGATGCGATTTTGTCTCACGCCAAAACGATTGCACTGCCTGAAAATCACTGTGCGGAAATCAAGTGGATCCAGAGGAAACGAAAAGTTACAAAAGGTAGTCACCTTAAAGGCTGCTACGAGATTAGAATTAGCTTCGTAGGATGAAATCCTTGCAAAATTCTCGCCTTGATCACTGCGCGACGCTTGATTGGAACCACTCTGTGGGCAGGTGTTCGCATAAGCTTGAGCGTCGTGCTCCAAAACAGTGCTCCACGTCTGAAAAACATCTGATAAGCACAAGAAACTATAATAGGTGTAGAAAATGCATTAAATCTATGCCGCTAGGATTAGCGCGCTTACCAGCTGATTAATATTTGCTCCTGGAGGAGCCTTTTGGCCTGACCGACCATTTGGCACTAGCCCTTGGGCGAGCCTTGATCTGAAAGACTAACTATAAATCCTGCTGCAAGTCATCTATAGGTTTTAGCTGTTTTCGTGATACATTCTGGGACGGTAGTAAAGTGCCCTAGACTGGCAATCAAATGTGGTGATTTACACCCATTGGCGAGGAATAGAGAACGTGGAAACATGGACATGACCCTCTTGAAACCGCCAGCCTCGCCACACGACCTGCAAAACTTGCGCCACTCTCGGACTTGAACCCTGGATGGTAGGGCTCATAGCCGGGTTTTTGCCACTGCACCAGGGATCACTCGACCACAGCACTGGAAGAGATGTTGATGAAAGGTAGCAATGGATGTTGTTTGCAAATCTTAGACTCCAAGCGGTGCTGATCCAGCAACCTTGCCAGCGGCAGCGTGGAACGTCCCATTGAGCCAATGGCAATTTGCCATAGGTGAAGTGGTGAGCATCCACCACGTTGCTTGCAAAAGTCGCGTCACACACGGGTTTGAACCTTCGGTGCACCGTCCCATGAGCGGCATCGCTACCACTGCACTATGGAGCCCTTCTTATCGACGGTGAAAGAGTTGTAGAGAAAAGGCAATAACCCACAAAAGTTGCAAAGATTTTGACATCTAGTAGTATCGATCCCGTGACCGCTCAACACCAACGTGGACCGCAGGCGCTACACCATTGACGAATCAATGCAAGTTGCTTCCCTTTCCCTTTTCAACTTACTGCTTTGACCCACACAGCCTGGCTGTTTGGAGATGGCCATCTCTAAAAAGTCCTCCGGAGGACTTTTTAGAGATGAAGTGGCAGCATGTTTGCGCCCTCCACCGCGCGCGCACTATTTCCTTTTCTCTGCCGCCATCGCTGTTAGTTTTTGGATGACCACCCTGCTAATCCTCTTACTAGCACGTGATGTCATCACCCCCACTTCCAAGTAAGTTCGAACTCACTTCGACCATTCTGACGGGGAATCTTCGGAGGGGTTCCAGAGGTGCTCTACGCATCTTTTAGGGTAACTTCGATGGAAGCCATCACCAAGTTACCACGAGCTCATGGTCACATGGGAACTAGCAGTTGAGGCCACTTTACTTCCGGCCATGATCTTTTCACAATGCTTATGCTTTCACACACCCGTTAAATATAATAGACAGCTACTCACAAAAGGAGGTATTGTTTCGCATACTATATTAAATCAACATTGACTCTAGTATAAGAAATTAGCTTTCTTCAGATCAAATTCGATACAATTCTATTCTAATGGAGAACAGCTCTCAATAAGGAGTCTCGTTGCCAACTTTTCCCCCAACGATTGCGAAGTCGCTTTTGTTTGAATTTGGAGAGCCTCTCATGTTACTTGGGATGGTAAGAAAGTCCTGAGGCGATTTTTCAGCTACAAAACTTTCGCTTATTGATTGATAACTGCAATCATACTTCCCCGCAGTAGAATATATATAATATATATTATATATATATATATATATAATATATTATATATATATATATATATATATATAGTCGAGTTGCCTTTTTTAACTCAAATCATGATATCGATTCTACCAGATTGTCCCATAATTAGTGAATCACTTTGAGTATTTTTGAATGGAAATTTTTTTTTTTGATCTCTTGCTTCACCCAAAACATACACTTTTCATCTACAGCGTTTCATGGGAATTTATTCGCTTACCTTGCTCGCTCTGAAATCGGCAGGAAGCTCTTCTGAACGAAGAAAGACTGGGATCGGGTTAAGGCGTGTCACCGAAACTCCTTCTTGGAGAAGGCTAGACCCAGTCCTTTGGGTGTCTTTGTGGCACAGATTATTGCTACACAGTGAGATGAATAACTGCAGCGGGAGTCTCCCACTTTTTGTGATATTCTCGTAGGGCGTCGAACGATCTACAAAAACATACTTTTGTTCTTCACTTAGTTAGCACGGCCGTCACAATAACGGCTGTGTATTGAACCTTCTCATGACCCTAAGTATTTGCAAGTCGGTGGCGAATAGTGGAAATGTCGAATATAGAGGAGTTGGTTTTCTTACTGTCAAGTCCTCTGGAATGATCAAGTCAGCTAACGTTTTGTGAATCACATAGCCACATCCACTAGTCCACAATAAGGTTGTTATGCTGAAATTGATCATTGTCAGGAACTAAAGGAGATCAGAAGGATGATGATGATGTCAGATCGTGTTTGGAGCTGATTCGGGCACAGAGCACGGGAGGAACAAATTTCCATATTTTTAAATGTTCACGACTCTACGGAGTTGTTTACATTCCACCATCTTAACAAGTTGGATACGCTCTAGCAAATAGCGACCAGTTTGTTCCAGTTCCATTCTTAGTGGCGCTGGCTAGGGCAGTGAGATTCCAGTTGAAGGGTGCTGGGTGTGGGTCATCTTCAAGTTATAAATTCAGCCCCGGAACAGAGTGAACCATAGTTGTACCGTGGACTATGCGAGCGTGTCCTCAACTATCTGCTGGTTGATCCACAATGTTTTTGGCGTTTGAAAGATCCTAGTAAGAAGTGATGAAGAGGGAAAAGCTCAAAAATAGGTTTAGAAAAATTGATGAAATAGCCATGTAACGCATCACATAGTTTGATGTGAATGGGCTAACTAAATGCTCAGGTAGGAGAATGTGAGTGCTACTTGGCAAAACATTGTTTCTGGATTTTTCATAGCAATAAATGTAAGGTGATCCACTATTATGGTACATCCTAATACAAGAGCACTTTCGAGCGATCATCTTCAATGAATGGCGCTGCGGCACAGGAGCAGTGGAACCGTCAACATTATCAGCATCGCATTGGGAAGGGACACCACTTCCATCATCAGTGCCAAGCTCTGGTTCGCAGGCTTCGAAGGAGGAGACACGGCTTCCGAAAACAAGTCAAGGTTGGGAAGCCCCCAAACAGTGGAAGACTCCACCGTTCTCGGCGCTGTCGAAGAGGATCCGGAGGTTAGCACCCGCAGCCTTGTGATAAGACTCGGGTGCACCCATCCCACAGTCCTCGGCCCCTCCACGCCCTCCCCCTCCGGGTACCCATTTGTCAGTTTCTCCTTCTTTGTCCGCACCGAAAGGAGTTTTTGGAAGGCATGATTACGAGAGATGAGAGTTGGGTCCTCTACGATTCTAACAAGCACAGTGCCGTGTGGCTCCCTCGAGGAGAAGACCCGCCGACACAAGCAAAATCGGACCTTCACCCAAAAGCTGTCTTCTTTGCTACCTCTGGGATTCGTGAGGAATGTTGTATTATGAGATGCTCCCGCAAGACATACCGCTACCGGCAGCATTTACGCCAGTCAGCTCCAGAAACTAACGCTGTTCAAGAAAAACGACCGAGACGAACTTCTGTCCACCTACTCCACGATGACGCCAGGCCCCACATAGCTAAAGAGACCCGTGCAAAATTGGAAGAGCTGATCTGGGACGCGGTTCCCCACCCACCCTATTCCCCTGACATTGCCCTCTCTGATTATCACTTATTTCATCCCCTTAAGGCCAGCCAGAAGAAAAAATTCAGAAGAAAAAAAAGTTGAAGATGATTCCAGATTCCATTGTACGCGGAATAAAAAAAGTAGAGCACAAGAATGTGTAAAACGACCTTAGGACTTTCTCACCATCCTAATACTACACCGCTAAACGCAACAGAGCAACTAGGAAATTAAATGGAGCCATGACGGTTTGGTGCCGTTGACGTCGTTGGTAGTTCCTTTTCCTGCGAAAGTGCCACCTTACTTTAATTGAGCACTCCTCTACCCCACACTTGCAACACTTCCCTTTCCTTAACTATGTACCTACATCCGCTCTTCTGCTTCCTAGTTTCGGACCTCTTGCAATTTCTCTTGACCACAACATTTGCGCAGACACATGAACTTCACGAACACACGTATTGTAAATAAAGGTATTTGCGGCTTCAATAGTGCCCAGGTGCTGAGGAAAAAATCTAGCACATGGCTACATTGCTGGGACGCTCTTCAGCTCTGGATCACTGAAAATGATGCAAGCGTATGTTTGCACTGTTTGCAAAGTTTAATCGGAATCGGCATCGGCTACTTGGTGAATCTAGGTCATTTGAAGGAAAGGTGCGTAAAAAATACTCTACTACAGTACGTTTCAAAAGAAAGGAGCATCTTCGGAAAGAAAGATCAGCGACCCTTGTTTGATTACAAGTTTTTGCAATGCAGCATGCACTGGAACCACAGTGCACTTTATGTCAGCACTAAAGCCTAGAAGCATTTATACACGAAAGTTTGGAAATGCCTCTTGTTTTGGGCTCTCCTGGTAAGAGGATTTTGATAGTGAATACTTCTTC